CATCAAAATCCGGCCATTAGGCTCTAATTAATTATATACCTTTGTTATCGATAGAGTTCTCAGTCGTTTATGATACTTCATGTTTATTGATCTTTTTTCTCTTATTTTTTCTCTTTTTCTTTCACTCCATTTCTGTCTCTTTTATAAAGCTAACAGAATAGTTGAAACTTTGTTACAATAATCTTCATTATAAGCAGATTTGTTTATTTCTTTCTTTTCATTCATAACTTGCCAAAAGTCTTGCTTATTATAAGCCTTAACTGTTGCCCAGAAAAGTTGTCTTAGCTTTGGACCAGGATGTTTCACCTTAAAGTTATTATAAAAGTGCCTTGCACAAAATCTATGATTGGCCATAGGAAAAATCTTTTTAACAACATTTTTAAGCCCTTTCTATCTATCACTCATAAATGTGATGCCTCCAATATCTCCAATAGAGTCAGACAAGCAATCAAGAAAATACTCTCATGTCGGCCCATCCTTCTTATTAGCGATCATGACTGCTAAAGGAAAAATACATGAATTTACATAAAGTGAAACAACAAGTAATTGCCCCTTAAATGGACCCTTCAAAAAATAAGCATCAATACCAATAAAGTGTCTACAACCGTTAAACAATGTCGTTAAATCATTATCATAAACCACTTTTATTGTAACACCACTAATCGGATGAGTAGCTTCTATGGAAGTAGTTTTCCCCAACCAAGTAGACGTACCTCCTATTACAACATTGGGAGCATCTTCCAACAAATCTAGTAATCCATAATGATTGTCATCCACATTAAAGACTTGATAATAATTACCAATACAATATATTGTTAAAGTGAAAAATATTCCTGAAATAATAACAATTGATTAACTGAGTTTAAACTTTAAGAAAATTGAACAACAATGTCTAGCATATAAAAAAAGACAACTTAGTTATATACAACAATATAACATAATAATCCAAAGCATCCACAAATATCTGACACTGTCACTACTTTAGGGTTCATGGACTTAATCATATTTGAAAAATTAAAGCTTTTCTTAATTTTTTAAAAAAAAAACATAAAATCATGATAATATGAGGAAACAAGACAAAGAAATATGGGAGAACAACTAAATAAAGCATATTAATAGTGAGTCAAAAAGCAGAACTTACCGTGTTGTGGAAGCTCGCGAGTTGCGACGAAAACGTTTGGTTCTTTAGGAGGCAATTAACAAGAGTTGAAAAAAACACTAAATAATAAGGTATATAATTAATTAGGGCACCACCACTAAATAAAATAAAAAGTGAAATTACAATTTGCCCCTATGGAGGGTGGTCAAATATTTTAAAGCTGCCGGTCAATGGCCGGATATTGATGTAAGGGGGAAAGATGTCTAATGTTGAAAGTTAGGGAGGGAGGTTGATTTTTAAGGTAAACTTCAGAAGGAAAAATGATTTTCACCCATTCTTAACCTACATGATTAGGGTATTATGTCTTACTTTTCAAGTTTGTTCTGCGTCTTTGTCAACTTTCTATAATTATTTTGAGCACCATCTTAATATTGACATATTTTTTGCTCAACTCACTACTCTAGTGCGTGTACGCTAATACCTTTTTTTTTTTTTTGTTGGCAATGCAATTGATCATATTGCCAAGGGCGGCTCTAGGTAAAGCAATGAAGCTTTTGTCTTAGGCCCCAAATATTTAAGGCCCAAAAATATAAAGTACTGCTATATTATTATATTATATATATAATTTATATTTATACAATTATTAATAAAATATTTTATATTTTTTTAAAATTTGGTAGAGGTAGGATTGAATAAGATAATAGGATAAAAAATTTCTCTTGCTAAGTTAAATAATATATTTATCTTCTCATCAATTCTATTTTTTTCTTTCTTTTTTCATATTTGTTACTATTTTACTTTTTAATTTCAACTCAGATTCTCTAAATTTGCTATTTTTTTTTTGTCACATTTGATTGATCCACACATCAGAAAGCGAGTTCTTTTGTGTCTCATTTTTTATAACTAAGAAATCCCCGAGACAAGTATCATAAGGTTCAAAATAAGATCAATTATAGGCTCAACACTATTACTATTTTCGCTTAATACTATATTTTTTTATATGGGAGAGTTCAATACCATATAACGTACACCTAACCCACATATTATATGTTGTTCTCTCACACTTTTTTGTCTCAATATTATATGGATTTTATGAAAGAAATTTTAGGGTCTTTTAGTATATTTTAGTTTTAAGCCACCAGTTGCGTTGAGCCGTGCTGATTAATTATCAACAAGTATTTATAGATCACTGTCCTATGAACGTGTTACTCAACCAGCTTCATTCATATCTGGTAACTAAATAACACATTCACTGATTATTTTTTATTTTAATTGAGACTCTATAAAATTTGATTGAGAATGCTCAAGTAGGAGATAAGTAAAGCTTTGATTTAGATTTTCAAAATTTCTTAATAATGGATTTTATGATTTTATTGCAAGTTAGGCAATATTAAAGTTTGCCAAAAAAAGTACAAAAAACATTGGACAAAAGAAAGAAAGAAAGAAAGAAAGATTATCTACTCTTTAACACTAAAAATAATTTAGAACTTTGAATTAAATTACTTAAATCTTCATATTAGTAAATATTTTTTACACAACAATATCAAAAGTAACATATTGAAATTACATGTCTAACATCTTATTTATTTAAGTTACCTCTTACTAATATAAATAATAATACTACTATGTGAAGTTAAAGGTTTTATCATTTAAGAATGTTATACTATAAATAACAAGTATGAAAAAAATAGCAACACTAATTTTTTTCCTGCATATGTCGGTATATATATACTAATAAAAAATATATAAGGTCTCTTATTAAAATTTGGCTTTAGGTCACTGATTTTATGGGGACGCCCGTGTATATTGCCTAGTTGAGGTGCCACGAGTGTTCTGGGATAAACATGCTTATACCCATACGGTTTAGCTCGACCATACGACGGGATACCACAAATTTCAATGCTATATATCACGACAGTGAGTCATATTTTTTATCAACTTATTTATATTCATTATAATTTATGTTTAATACTTTCGCTAATATACTTCTTTCTGTTTGTAATATTTGTCTAGTGCAAAGGACGTGGAAACATTGGAACAGTCCGAATTCTACAAACAATGGGGACACCGATAGTCCAACGACAAGTACATATGCCTGTAATGGTGCTAGAAGTAATGGGGCTTGCACTTGACTACACATTTGTTGATTTCGCCTTTAATTGGACCACTCTTGGCTGAATTGACGAGCGGTGGGAACGTATACCTCCCTTTGCACTTCGTAGTGGCAGCTACGTGGTGTCAATGGATGAATCTCTTCTTGCTCATGATGAGTACCTCCGTCAGTGGTTGATGTGGAAGGTTTCGACATGCCAACGTATTAATTAGTTTATACTATTATTAATCATATACTTGAAGGTCTTGTATACAGTACCAAAAATCATTAAATATGAATATTTATGGCAAATTATACTTTTATGTCAAGATTAGAAGTTCTTGTACAGTACAACACATGATTATACCAAGAATTTTATGGAATTATATATTTATAAATTAGAAGAATTATACTTTTGATTATGTGGTTACCTTGGCAAAATACTATATTTTACATGCATGACTTAAACATCTTACTGTTGCATCAACAGCTTTAAATATTTCTGAAGTTTGGATATCTCTCTTTAGCAATATCTTATTCAGTGAACTACAAGAGATTATGACTAATATAATGACGACATAATCCTTCCAGAATGTGGTATATGTTTGAAGCAAATGTTTGAGTCTTGAAAGAACAAAAGCATCAACTGTCTAAGCATAAAATTTGGTATCCTATCAACTTAAAACAAGATTTCAATTCTACATTCTCAAGAAGGGTAGTTTAGAAAGAAGATTTCTAACATTCGATGGATCAGCAAACTGCAACAGGTTATGCTCAATCCTTTCAGAAGTTTGAAAGCAGTAACATCAAATTTAACTTGCTTCTTACTTCATTTGATTTATAGACTTGAGGATAATTGCTTTTATCTGAATCTTCTATACCTCTGGCTGGTGTTTCTCATTTCCTTGACATAAAATAAGCCTATTAAGTTGGGGAAGATACAGATATCAAAAGATGTTTTACTCACTGACACCCCACAATAGTACTTAGATGATCTAGGAATAATCTGGTTAAGCAATAAGAGGCAAAAAGAGAGAAAATAAAGTGGTGAAAAATAAGCAAATCAAGCCAGATAAGATTAATTTTCAGCCTAAGACCAACAAACTTATAGCGTCAGCGTTCTACCATCTCAGTTAGAAACAAATGGTTGAGACTTGCCGTGGAGAAGAAGGATTCCCATACTGTCTAGTAGAGCTCTCAACTTCAACTTTTTTAAGATAGTGCCTCCAACATTTGATGCATCTAGAGTCACAGCAGGGAGGGACAATCTCTCTTTCAATTAGTTTCTCCCTTAAGAACTGTAATTGCATACCAAAAGCAGAACAAGAATGGTAAATTAAGCATTACGATTAATTTTACAATAAGAAACAAAGAAACCATATAAGCAAAGACAGGAAAATCACATTCACCTGTATAAATTCTTCATTGTGCTCCCAGGTTCTGTCAACTGATAAAGTCTCTGGATGACAGGTCCAAAGCAAACTATCTAACAGAGTTTCGAAATTTAGAGATTGCATAACTTGCTGTATCTTCAAATGCTTGACAACAGATAACGGGCAGGATGATGTTCCATTCAGTTCTTCCGCAATAAATGTAATCTTGATAATCAACAAAAAATGAACGAAAAAGATAATCAAATGTAACGAAAAATAAAAATTAACCAAATAAACTGAAAATGGAGTGCAGACTTACATTCGTTGAATTTATAGACAAAACTAGTACATTCAGTTGTTCGAATCTAGATAGATATGCCCTCAAATTTTGAAACCAACTTGTGTTGAGATGATCATTGGGTGTTAATTTGAGATAAGATTCCTGTAAAGAAGATCTTGTCAAAGAGAATATGACAGGCAATTTAGGAGCTCCATATTCAAAACGGAGCAGCTTTGGGGTGTCTATCTCAACTTCCATCAGACTCTTGTGAGAACAGAATGTCAACTGCCTAAGCACACAACTCGAAAATTTAAGCCTCGTCAACTTAAAACAAAAGTTCAATTCTAATTTCTCAAGAATGGGTAGGTCAGAAACAAGATTTTCTACCATTTGGTCGGTAATCTGCTCATATGTTATGCTCAATTCTTTCAGAAGTTTAAAAACAGCCACGTCAAAATTTAACTCGCCGTTATATCCTCTGTAATACAGACTTTGAAGGTTAACAGCTTGAATCAGAATACTTGTATATGTTATCTCATTCGCTTGATGCAAGGTAAGCTTCAGAAGATTCGGGAGATCAGATATCAATAGATGTTTTACTCCCCGACACCTGATAAGACTTAAATCTTCTACCGCAGGACAAGCAGAGAAAATTTCCAAGATTATCCGCTCCTCCAAAGCAACATCAGTAAGAGACAGCTCCCTCAATTTAGTAAGCTTTATATGATCAATAAATAGAGGCCACTCGAGCTTAAAGCCTCCCAATCTTAGAACGACTAGCTATTTAGCTGTAAATGCTGTACCTGGCAAAATATACAAATCTTTTTCATCTTGAGAATTAATATACCAATCTTTTTGTTGGTACTTAACATGAAAGTCTAATTCTTTGATGCAGTTGTTGGTGGCCAATCCTATCCATTCGTCAATGCAAGAGGCACTTTTTAGATCCGAAAGTTTAAGAGAAAGCCTGAATTTCTCTATTATTGCCTTTTGGATGCGGAGGTTGATCAATGAGCCTTCTATAATACGTAGGAAAGCATCCCTTACATCAGCTTGTTTCGTTCCCTCTTTTTCTGTCGACAAGAGTTCCCGTATGGAAAGGTTTTGGTCAAAATCAAATGTAAATACAGGAAGCAAATTCCACACTTTCAGCCAGGTCTTAGAGAGCACACTAGTTTGAGCTGCATCTTTTGGAGGTAGGAAGAAGAGTATGTGCTGCAAAATAGGGTCAGGTAACTGAGAGATTCGATCCATTACAATAGCTTTCTTTTTCTATGGCGCATGAGTAGGTACTTCAGTGGACATTTTTCCTGAAAATCAATCAGGCAAAAAGATAAATTAAACTACATTTTCCTTGATTTTATTCAGATGTCTAAAAGAAAAAGGATCAAGGTCCTACAAGGGCCTGGGCGATGTCAGAATATTGTATCACTTCCCAAAAGATGGAGATTTCATATGCAAGTCTTACGAAACTTGAAACACTTGTGAATGCTGACAAACAGTCAATTCTTCTATTTCCAAACTTGCCAAGTTCTGAACTCAAGCTAGTCACAAAGAGAATGTATTCTACTACTAGCCTCGCGTGTGCAATTTCACCAGACTCAAAACATACATGAAGTAGTAAAACTTTAACCTAAATAAATTATTTTGTAGAACAATTAACAAAAGTAATACAATATTTTTCAGAAATTTCAGAAATAGATCTTTTTTAATAGAGCTAATACTGTCTCTTTCCTTGTACTTATCTTTTCTTGTACTGATTGCATCTACTTTATGCCTCTAATGAAATTTCTCACTTCATAAGAAAAAACTTCAGAAATAGATTAAACTATTTTTCGGTAAGGTTTTATGTATTATCTTATTCCAAAATTCCATCGGTCAAAATGTTACTGAGTAATATTTCGTTATTTTGTAACGACAGTCTGCTACATCATTACAACCTGATAAGTTAATCTGCAATAAGACCTGAGATAATAGGGACGAAAACATTACTCAAAGTAATGACATTCTGCTAAAATTCCATCATCGTACACTTTCAGCCTTTTACAGGCAAAATTCAAAAAGCAGCAAACTTTAGGATGATTGCATTTCTGATAACTTCATCAACTCTCATCAGCATTCAAGCAAACAAATACTGGCGTTTCATAATCTATCGGATTAAAAAATCAGCACTCACAGCAATCAACATTTCAAAAGAATCTTTCAATCAGCATTCGACCACTTAAAAAAAACAACAGCAGCATTTTCACGATACACTGAAATATATCTGATTTACACGAAACAGGGGTAATTTTGGTAAAAACGAACCTAAATTGCTTGAAGCTTTTTGGTTTATTTCCAAGGAAACACTATTGGAAACACGCCCTCACCAGAGGACTGTCGTCGTAGCTATCACGGCTGGGATTTGAGCAACAAATTAGGGATCGCCGGAAAGCTACTAAACCCTAAAACAGAGTGAGAAACTCCTAGCGCTGAAAGAGAACAGCGTTACTCTAAGTAACGTTTTCGAGGAATTTATCGGTGAGTTCAACAATACCTAGTGTATTCTAGTATCAATTTTCTGTCCATTGAATATGGCATAAACCAAAATTCAAAATTGAAGATCAAGTGTCAAAAGGAACAAAGGGAGGTAAACAAAGAAAAAACCTCTAGGATGGAGCATGGAGGGTACGTACCTCGGGTAGACTGGAGTTGTGCTCAATCAAAACTTCTGCATCGGGAGAAATTAAAAAATTGCCAGATTTACGGGTGGTCGTTTAAAAATAGCTCACTTTCAAAAGTAATATAAATTTAGCCACTTTTCATGTAAAGATAAATTTGAGCGAAAATACTGATCAAAATCCGGAAAATATGCCAGTATATTATGCTGGAGTTCAGCATAAGTATAGTTGAATTACACCATATTATACTGGGGTTCCAGGATAAGTATATTGGAACTCCAACATAATATGATGGAGTTCTAGCATAAGTATATTAGAACTCCAGCATAATATAGTGGAGTTCCAGCAAAGTATACCGATCCAGTATAATATGCTGGAAGTTCATATACAAGTGCTCGAATCCCCAATATATTATGCTGGAACTTTCCGTGTGTTGGAGTTCCAGCATAATATGCTGGAAGTTCATATACAAGTGCTCGAATCCCCAATATATTATGCTGGAACTTTCCGTGTGTTGGAGTTCCAGCATAATATGCTGGAAGTTCATATACAAGTGCACCAAACTCCAGTATATTATACTGGACCGGTCTCTGTTGCAGCAAAATAGTGGCTATTTTTTATTGACTTGGTAAATATTGGCTATTTTTAAATGACCAGTCCGAAAACTGGCTAGATCGTCCCATTTTTACTTTGCAAACGAATTCAAACCCTTAATACGTACCTGATTATAAATGGCGGAACATATTGAGAAACTTAAAACGTGGTTACGTAAGTTTATTTCTTTCCTATTTCGAAATCCCCCTAACGCCAAAATAGGTAACACCATTTTTGGTAGAGAATACCTCGTCTTTCATACTCCAGCCCAATTTATATAGTAGCGTTCAAAGTAAAATAAATCGCCATTTTTACTCAATTTTCAGAATTGCCACATAAATTACGACAAAGGGAGTACTATTTAATAAGATGTGATTTGATTGATTGCTTTTCCAAACATACTCTGAAAATTTTATAATAGTTCGTCGTATATTGGGATAATAGTACTTTTGGCTTCTCAATTATTGATAAACTAGTAAATTAGCTCGCGCTTCGCGCGCGCGATCTTAAAGGAATTTAAAATAAGATTAAATAATTGTGTCATATAAAAGAAAGTCATTTTTACTAACCAAATATTTATTCCTAATTTTACCATGAACTATTATAATGGATAAATAACCTACTACAACTGGTAAAACTGCATTAACAGTTCAATCACTATCAAGGCAATAGCATTCTTTACCAACTTATTATGATTTATTGCTTTAATGTCTCCTTTTTGCTATAAAGAAACATGAAGAAGGGTGGCGATAGATCAGGATGGCAGTAAGGTAGTCATAGGTAGCAAGAAATTGATATGAAGTGCTAGCTGATTTTTCATTTATTGAAAAAAAATAGCTAATAGCAATCAAAACTTGCTGAAATATTGGCAGATGCATGAATATTATATTCTCATGCAATGAATTATAGACCTTGAAGGCAGCAGAAATTTCTGACGTCCAAACTAAGCTGAAGTTTTGAAGGGAAAAAAGAAATCCATTACATTTAAACTGAACATGGATTAAGTTCTTACCACTTTTTCACATATACTCATTCACAGCCTTTTTGAAGAACACTAAAATATACATGAGTATGTGTATTCTCATCCCCATAATAGGATTATTTTGAGAGTTAAGAGAAGCTAGCTAGCTCTTCAACAAAAATATGCATATGACACCTTTTATTGCTCCAGGCCTCCCACTAACATGAAAGGAAAAATGTGAAAAAGAGAGAGCTAATTCTTAACACATTCAACAACAACAACAACAAATAGAGGATAAAACCAGCGATAGATTGCTTGGGCCTTTGAAATTTAATGTGACAGTGGGACATTATGTTCCTTAGCTTTGTCTCCCTTTAGGACGATCATCTATAAAAACTGAAGCAATAAAGAGATATATATATAGTAAAAGAATTTATGTGTTGTGCTTCAGCATCATACAAGTGTTCTCTATTGCAATTCTAGCTAACGGAGCTAGAATATACATTGAAACAAAGCGACAGATAGATGAGAACAAAATCTTGTATAGAGGGAAAAAACCAAAAGAGAGAATGAATAAATAAAACGGTTTGTTATTGGATGATGATTTATATCAAGCAACAATACTTCTACTAAGGACCAGAATATATAAAACATATGTGTTTTCCTACTTTATTTCTATGGTTTGTCGTCCCTCTTTGGATCCTATTACACTCACTTTTTTCCCTCCTTCCAACTTCTCTATAATTAGTCACTCTTTGGATTTTTGTTTCAGAAAAGGATCAGGGAAAAATGGTAATAGTTTTTGATTGCTAGTTTAAAACAGCTATCTTCTTTCTTTTCAACTACTTTACTTATTTCTTTATGCAACGATGATACTAAGTAAAGTTTCTGCATAAACGCTGAGCAAGCATCTCTGCTTGGTTTTTGCTTTTCTTGACTAATGTGATTTTCACAATTTTTTGTTTTTCACTTTTCTATTTTTCCTAAAAAAATGCACTCAGGCCAAACACTATGTATAAGCCAAATAGAAAGCAAGAATAGAAGAGGAGGAAAATGTTTCACCGAAATCTCAATACTCTTGGTTCATTGTTCCTTACTCTAGCAAAATATAATAATGATGCTATCGATCTCCAAGTATGGTGACACAACGACCAAAAAACTAATACAGGTCACTGGATGAAAAAAAGGAATTTAATAGAGCAAAACATCAACCAAAGTTGAAGCGAGGATTCTGACGCGAAGATGAAAAAACGAATACAAGCCCAAGATGAGTAAGAAGGAAATTTAATTTAGACATACATGAAAACAATCACTAACCAAAGATGAATGTTGGTTTCTTCTCTGCTTTGGTGCCTTTGAAATTGAAAACATAAAGGTTTTAAACGACTGTTGGGTTGATTTCCTCTAGTTTGTTGGTTTCTATCTTCACTGGCTGGCCTGCTTGTCGTCATTGAAATTGAGAACTTGTAAATTTTTGTTTGAGTTGTTTCTGGAGGACGCTAAAACAGTGGTGTATCCTCTTCAATAGTTTGAATGAACTTAAACGTGAAAGTTTTGCTTTGTAACGGTTAGTTTGTCGAAAATTCTGAAAAGGTGCTTTCCATTTTTAATAGCTTAACTATTTAGATTTAATAATTGAGTATCCTATTAAAATGAGAGGAAAAAACTAAAAAAAAAAATGAGAAATCAGATAAATGTAATTCCTAATCAACGAGGACTGCCACATCACCTGGCTAATGTCCCTCAATATATAGATTCTGTGATGAAAACAATAAAAGAAGAAGAACAATGTTGCAGAGAAAGAGAGAGAGGAAATTTTTATTGAATTTTGGGATGATATACAATGGGGTAAGACCCTTCAATTTATAGGGAAAAAATGACTTAGCCACAAAGTAAAACTCTCTACAAGATAGACATTCACTCTAATTACAATTCTATTCATAACACTCCCCCTTGAATGTCTACTTAATAAGTAATTTGCCTCATTAAAACCTTACTAAAATAAAACCCAATGGGAAAAAAGATTCTAGAAAAGGAAA